AAATGCCGTTGATATGTACATCTCTGGGCCGCGGGAGCACGCTCATTGGCCCCTCACTGGGTGGGATGACATCAGGCCTCACTCTCAATAGGGCCTTCAGTTTGCCTAAATGTCTGCTGAGGGCTGTGAGAGAATAGAGCTGAGGGGAGAAAGCGTCCGCACTACATGGTCTCAGATCCAATGAAAACACAGACAGCTTCAACTGGGGATAAAAGAACTTTAAAAAAAAGGAGAGAGAGACTGTAGTCTTGGAGCTGCTATTAACAGGAGATGAATCGCAAGAGACCATTTCATGCCGGGGTACTTTACAGAGCAGAATCCCTAAGAGCCATTAGCTCTCAGTGAGAGTCGTGTCGAAGCCCTTTGCTGTCAGGACAGAAGCATGCATATAAATTTTATACCATTTGTCTTTGAGCAGAGACAAAAGATCAGCTCAAAATCCTCAACATCTTGTCTCTACTAACATGAAATAATACACTCTTGTGTGGCTGTCTTGTTACCTTTTTCCCATCAAGAGAATACTAGTGATAAAATTATTCATGCTTTTGGAAGGTTTTGTTCTTATTTTTTTATTTTTAATTTTAAAGGAGAAAATACAAGAAGTTGAGGCTGTATTAATTTCTGTTTCTGTTCTTATTCCTGTGACAATCATGCAGCTGCTAAGGGTGGTGACCTCAGGAAGCATACAGTACTTTTTCAGTTGAAAAGAAGCACAGCTTTAAAAAAGTCAGCCACTACATTTTCTTCCCCTGCTTTTCATTAAATTAATTCAGAGGATGATGTGGATGATGTCTCATTTATTTTCTATTTCCACATGCAATCTTAAAAAAAAAAAAAGTATTTTTTTGCTCTTTCTCAACCAACAATTCTAACCCTATAGACATTTTGGGACCTATGACCTTAACTTGCTCATGCAAAAAAGTCTGCTCAATCCAGTAGGTCCACTCAGACTAAATAGTGTCTCTAGATACAATTTGCAGAAAAGATCCTATACAACTTTTTTGGTGTTTTTTAAATTCATTGTGTGTGCTGAAGTAGATCAATTTTACAATCTAGGGCTTGGATCTCTTTAATTGAAAAAAATCCGTTCTTTGTATTTTCTTTGTTAAAGAGATACTGTATTCCCCTTTGATAAATAGTTATTTTATCTTCAGTACTTTGTGAACGTGTAAGGAGAAATGATGAAATTCTATGTTCACAATGATTCTCATCAAACATTTTCTCATTTTATGACAGTTTAAATAAAAAATAATGTTATGTTAGAGTCTGAATTAATACTAAGAAGATTTACTTTACAAGGAATATTTTCTCTGAGAGACGAACATAACTCTTCTCTGGCTGATACAATAGCTCTGCAGTGGTGCAAAATGGAAATAAAGTTAGAGCTATTGACTGCGATTCACTTATAACAAAACACTTCTGCATGACACAAAGCAAAACTGAGCAGGCTAGCTCTATATTCAGTATTCAATAATTTTACATGCTTATTTTTATATGTTTTCCTAGAGCAAATTATAAGACAGCCACTCGTGTGGCGATGGTCCTGTGCACCTCTGGTACCAACACAGCAAGCAGCACAGCTCTCTATCCAGCACGCCACACACACTGGCAGTGAGGAGTCATGAAACACATGCACCCATCCAGAATGCAAGGGCCAGCAGCAAGGACAGAGCTCTGAAACACATACATATATCATATCTCATATTCTTGCTGTCGAAGAAAGATCTGTGCTTTTCCCTGGTACTCTGAGACCACATGGGCTGTACTTCGGCACTTGTCCCCGCGGCTGGGCTGTGCAGGAGCCGGGGGGAGGCGCGGGGGGCTCTCCCGTGGGAAGGCTGGAGCCGACGGGTGAAATCACACCACGGCAGTCAGGCTGTGTTGCTATTCACAGCGGGAATGTGGGCTGAGTTGGGGCTGCCGCTTGCCGCCCCTCTCACGCCCTCATCCCCCTTGGGGAAACGTGCATCATTAACCTTCTGAATGCTTGAAAAACACTGGGCAAAATATTTGCCTTCACAGCGGCCAACGCAGACTGTACGCATTGCACAAAGCAAGGCACATACCAAGTGAGGTTAAGCCCTAAAACTCGGAATTGTTTCCAAAGCTGTTGATATCTTATACATGATTGTACTTAGAAAGAGCTCTCCCACTTGAGGAAAGAGTGTGAGGGCTGGATGAGTTAATCTAAGCTCTGAAATACTGTATGGTTAAAAGCCTCTTTCATGTAACTGTGTTTATGAACTGAGCTCAGAATTCTTAAAAATCCAAATTATTACAAAGGAGAGGGTCTGGTGTTTGGCAAAACCACAAAGCCTGCCATTCTCTTGACTGCCTTGTTTTACAGTGGGTTTCAAAAAAGGCCTCACAGCACAAGGCAGTACCTAGAATATGCTGGAATCACTTAAAGAAAATTCCCAAAGATTTAAGATTCCCCTATCAAATTTGCTTGCACTTGAATGGTTGTTTTTTGTTGATGTTTTGTTTTGTTTTGTTTGGTACTCTGCCTTATTCTTCTTTGCTAATGATTACTTTTAAATTGCACCACAAATCTCCAAAAACACAGCCTCCTTCCGTAGGATCCCCCCAGAACAGGTTGGTCTTAACCCCAGGTAGAAACCTTCAATGCCAAGTCACCAGATGCATCACCTTAGCCCAAAACACTGGCCTCATCTCCTTTTCCAAAACCCAGTTTCTCACAAATGACTGCAATAACTGAGACTTCTCCAGCCTAGCTGAGGCCTCAGTTTAACCAGGATCTGGATGAGGAAGGCAGACACGTCTCCACACAGAGCAATCATGGCCTCTAGTGCTGGAGGCCACAGGCAGTGCTGAGGGGGTGCCGAAGGCCAGGCTGGGCCCTGCTGTGCCTGCCTGCCATGCTGGTGGTGCCAGGCCCGCCAGACTTGTGGACACGGCAGCATACAGCATTAAGCTACCTTGTGGCAATGACCTCTGTGGCCTTACTGAGTTTCCATGAGCATATTTTAAGTTAAAATGTTGTGGGTGACGAGCGGTGTGGAAGTGGCCTCCAACACCACTGACTGGTGAGGGCCACAGTGTGAATTAATGTGGCTTTTTTTCAGGCATCCTCTTGACTGCAGACATCTCAGCTGCCACAGTAAATGCTGTGCTCCTGAGGCACTAGCTGCTAGGTACACTTTCGCATGGTCACACCTGTAAATAATGTCATCTTGCTCCTCGGGTACACCTCTCTGCTCCATCCTCCTCCTCTTTTCTGAAAATCAGGCATTTTCCACACCAAAGTGCCCAACACAGAAACATGGAAAGGGTAATTCCAGCTGTGGTAGCTGTGTACCAGGACAAAGGAGCAAGCTGACCAAAGTTTGGGGCCTACAACCCAGGGCCCTCACAGGAGCAGCCACTACAGTCCTGGCTGCTGTCTGGAGCCAGGCACCATGTCTCTAGGCTATGGCTTCTGGCAGCCTCCAGCTTTGTTTGAGCTTTCATGGCCACCAAAACTTCTGGGTGAAGAGCTCTGTGGCTCAGCCACTTCAAGGATTTTTTCCAAGCGACCTCCATAAACTGCTTCCCTCAGCACTGTGCTGGTGGTGGTGGCAGCCACCCCGTGCCGCCACCATAGCATCATCGTTTGCCTGCTGGTACTGAGGCACCACAACCTCATGGCCTGTCAGCACTCCTTGTCTGGTTCGGCGTCTTTGAAATGGGTTGAGAAGAAGTGGGCAGGAGCAGGAACAAAGCTCTGGACAGTTTCTATAGGTCCTAAGTATGTGTCAAATGAGAAAGGGACAGAGAAAAGTAACTTGCAGAGTCAGTGTTGGCAAGGCAGATGTGGACAAGCGGGCCCAAGTGCCAGACTGCAGTAACTGGTATGCTGGGGATGCACAGAGGCCAGTGCCTGTCAAGTCAAAACAGTAAGTATTTGAAATATGCATCTGACAACTCAATAACATTAAGGACAGTGTAGCATCTTAAATTTGCAATATGTACACTATATATTGCAGTGTATTGTCATGCATTGGCTTATTTTAGTTTTCCTTTATAAACCAAGGACAGATGGATGGATGGATGGTACTGCAAAACAAGAGCTAGCGTTGTCCAGATAGGGCAGAGCACATTTTCCACCTTTCCTTTTGTGAATATTGGATTGTTCTCCCACCTCAATCTAGGCTTAACTCACAGGTATCAAACTAACTTACAGAAAGGGAAATGTTTTAAAGCAATCGACAACCATGATGAGCCCTAAAGCATCTGTCGCTGTGAATATCACCACTATGCAGAACATTCACAGATTCCTGTTCTTAGTTCAGATCTATTCAATTATTGCAGAAAGATTTATTTCATTTCCTGATTTTGTGATGTCACTTTATAGGAGTGATTGTTGTAAACAGCAAGACAGCTTACTGTCTCCTAGAGTAACATAATGTAAATGTCCCTTCAAAATCAGAAAGTGGTGAAAGAAAGATTGTTAGTTTGCTATTTAATAAGCTCAAGGGTTTGGTATGTGTAAAAAGCATAAGTAAAGCCAGCTGCACTAAAAATATGCCCAGATTCAGCATCATAATTTTTCTCCAAAGGAAAATCAAGCAGTAGTATTGCCAGCTCTTTAAATCCTTTTGGAAATTCTAGACACTGAGGTATTTGTTTTTATGGTCTCATGAATGGACGATGAACAGTGAATTCAAACTGTTTGCCACCTCTACTGAGAAGCCAAAGGAAAGAAAACATTTTTGATTGTGTACAATATGGGACACCACTGATTATTTTTTTTTCCATGAAAGCTTGTGAAGAGTTTGAGCCCCCAAAATTCAAAATCCAGAAGCTAAAAACTCAACTGATCCATTATTTTTAAAGATAGCTCACTATGTTCATTGACAGACAGATCTATTATCCTGACAGGTTCAGCTGGCAACACCCTTGTAATGATAACACAACCTGCAGCTGCATGTGGGGAAGGTGCCCTCTCGTTAATGATGCCTGGAACCACCTGCCCCTGGGGGTGGAGAGTTTATCAAGCCTGTAGGGGGGAGGTGGCCAGGGTTTGCTCTTTGCAGCCTGATTAGGCTGGTCCTTCTTGCTGCAGGTACTGGATGGCTATGGAGTGCTGAAGAGGGAAGGATGAGATGACAGGAGGAGCCATCCAAGCAGGGAATTGGATGATTGGTGATGGACTCCTACAGTTGCAATGGGAAAGCAGAGGTAAGGCTGGCTGCAGAGTGGAAGCCTGGGTAGGTTTGGGTGTCTGAATTAGATTGGGGGATGTGTGTTTGTGTGTGACAAGCATGTGATGAAGCTGTTACAGGGCTAGAAAGGAACAGAATCACTTAGAGATTAAGATCTTGGCTATAGTTTCTTCCTGTGTTTCCTTGGCTTAAGTGATGGTGTCAACTGTCACCTTACCATGGGAGAGGATGAAAACACTGTGTTAGGAAGTAAAGAGCCACAGTTTCCCCCTTAAAACAAATCTGAGGCTCAGACTGGTTTTCTAGCCTTTACTGTCTCTAATACCTAAAGTACAAAAGCTCAGTGACTGTTGCCATTCAACTCTGGGCATTGATGTTATTAACCACAGTAGATGCAATGAATGTAGTCTCCTGAGTTGTTACAATTTCATTATTTGATGAGGCTGCAGGAAAGACTTTGTGCTCCACTTCTGCAGAGTAGCGGGAATAATGTTGTGAAACTCTGAGCCAGGGATCCTCTTCTTTCTCCTCCCTCTAGTGTTACTTGTTCAGAATTCCTAGTTGGGTTTTTGTAAAAGTAGTGTGATGTGGATAAGCAGATCAGTTGCCATGGTGTTCCACCTTTGCATCTGACAGTGTAAAACCCAAGCTCTAAAGGCACTGCACAAAACTGTTGTGCCAATGCCATGGAGGTAAAACAAAGCTGTGTGTTAATGGAAGATACCATGTGCTGCTATGGCAAGCAGCCTGTTATATGGCTGTTTCTGTGTTATGCACATGAAGGAAAAGTGAGTTGTAACAAAAAAAAAAAAAACTTTGTGCATGTCATGCATTGACAGTCAACCTTTTGCATAGTCCTGCTGAGCATTCAAGCTACTTGCTGTAAAGGAGAATGCCTCGGCACCATGAGCTGTGTACAACTGCCTGGTCCTATTGTGAAAGCAATGGGGCAGATCCTTTTTGCCTCTCTATGTCCTTCTCACAGCCATCCCTGAAACCACGTAGCCTGCAAGTGATCCCAGTTATGGGCAGGCACTTTGGGCTGTGTAGGACCACAGATGCCTAAATGCCTGGGGGGATAGTCTGAGGGCTGGTTTGCAGAGCAGGGTGTGCTGGTTGCTGCTCTCCTGAAGTGTTCACCCATGTTGTGACCACAATCAAGTAGATCTGTGGCTCTTGGTATTTTGAAGCAGATCTGGGGACTGCAAATTTGGGATTCATCACTAATACTGCTGCTATGTTAAACATGGAGGTTAACGGTGTAAGAGGGCTAAAGGACAGACTGCTGAGACACATGTGCTTACAGAGCCACTACTTAAGCAGTTCTGTTTTGGTCCTTTTCTTAGCATCCTACCCTTTCCATGTGGCTTTCTTCAAGTAAGGTAAGTTGTAGATTGGGTTAGATGTTACATGAAGTGGCCATGTTTAGGACAAGTAAAAAGTAGCTGTCCTTGAATAACCTTTTTTGAATATTCTGTAGTAGACTGTAAAATATAATTTCAAAACCAATATTAAATATCTTTAGGTAGTATTTCATCAATCTCGAGTTTAATTGAATGCTTGTGTTGTGAATTTACATCAAGGTAAGTGTTACGTGCTATCTTCCCAGTTTTTGAGCACCTGAGTTGTGAAGGCTGTAAGTCAGAAACTGCTTCTCTTGTCAGGGTTAAGTTCCATTTAAAATTGTTAAAATTCTGTCTTAGCTCATATCATGTCTGTAGATTCCTGTGCTCACCTGGGAGGTAGAATAACTTTGTCCTCAGAAAACTTGTCAGTGAACATCAAATTTTTACAACACATTGTCATTTCCCCTGTACGAAAAAGTCAAACTCTATAATCCAGCATGGTAAATAATGCTGCCATACAAATATAAATATATATATATATATGTATATATGCGCGCCTAAACACTCATCTGTAATGCTAGTTTTGACAGAAGTGTGTTTTCCTGAGGCAAAGAGCTGGTCACAGTGACTGCTAGCCTTGTAAAAAAAAAAAAAAAAAAAATGCTGGCTGCTACTTCCAACCCAGGCACTGTCCTAGGAGATATTTTAGGTTGGAAGGTGCTTCTTGAGGTGACTGCTCCTTTGAGCATTGTTTGAAGGGGACTGGGTTTTATTTTTGGTACTGCACAGTGTGCTTCATCCACAGCTTGTTTGTGTGCCTGCTAGGGACTTGATGTTTGATCATGGGTGAGCAGACCATGAGTGCTCACCTGCTGCTGGGATATTGCTCCTCTATGCTTGGTCTGCTGATGCACTCTGTCCAAAATCTATTTCAAAGCAATCCCTATTTCAAAACACTGCAATGCAGAAGCAATGTGAGAACAGCATTTCCCTCTAAGTGGGAATGTTGCTTTGGCCGTAGCTCATTAGCTAGGTAAAGTATTCATTTTCAAGACAGTTTCTGTGAAACTCATCTGCTTCTCAGTCTCTTCACAGCTGTTTCCTCACCTAACCCTCACCATTCATGTTAACATTTGCTCTTTGCCTTCATCTACTCTGTGGAAACAGGATTGGGTTAACTTAACTTGTGAAATTTGTGTAAGAGAGGAAGCTTTCCTAGGACTACTTACTGTCTTTATTTTGGTTTAAATATCTAGTTTTCTAGTTGGTCAGTTTCAGTGCAACTTTACCCTGTTACAGAAATTGTTCTGTGGGGAGGGAACAGCTGTTCCGGTGGCAATTTAATTCGGGAAACATTGATGTCCTAAGCTACAAGGATGGTCTCTGGCTGCCCTCACCTCCTCAGGCGCTTGGCTGGCAGGTGCCCCTCAGCACCAGCAGGCTCTGCAGGGCTCCAGGGAGAAAAGAGGCGAGCTTCGAGAGTGGTACGAAAAAGTCAGCATTTTATTAGGGGAGGGGGGGGAAAAAAAAGGCCAAAGGGAGAGAGGTGGCCTCAGACAAGTGCGGGCGGCAGCTCAGCCCTGCCAGAAGCCGACGAAGAAGCTGCAGAGCGAGTGCCACCGCTGGGCGCAGTAGGTCTCCACCAGGCGCTCGGGGGGCTCGGCGGAGGCTGGGGGCGGCGGCGTGGGGCCGGGGTCGTGGCCGGGGCTGGACAGCAGCAGCCGCAGCTGAGCCTCGGGGGGAGCCCGGCCGGGGCCGCATTGGCGAGGGCCGAGCGGGGCGCCCTCGGCGCAGGGCCGGCGGCGGCGGCGCAGGTGGGCTATGACCTGCCGCCAGTAGCGGCGGCTGCGGGCGCCGTAGGCGGGGCAGCGGCGGGGCTCCCCCCGGTACACGCAGCTCCGCGCCGCCCCGCCGCCCGCCGGCGGCCGGCAGCTAAGGCGCAGCTCGCTGGCCCCCGCCGCCCAGCGCAGCTCCCACTGGCAGCGGTGCCGCTCCGGCGTGGAGAAGCGCCCCGTCTGCGCCGCCTCGCCCGGGCCGCCGCCCGCCGCCCCCAGTGCGACCAGCAGGGCCAACGGGGCCAGCAGCGCCAGGGGCCGCCGCATCTCCTCGGCGCCGCGGGAGCCTCCTCCGGTGCCTGTGGGAAGGCAAAGCCGGCTCCGCACGAAGCCGCCGCTGCCCCATTCCCTCCCTCCCTCCTTCCCCGGGTTTCCCCGCTGCTCCCCCCCTCCCCTTAGTCCCCCGCCGCAACTCACGGTGTGCGGCCGGCTGCCTGCAGGTGCCCGGCCCCGGCGTGTGCGGCGGCGGGGCCGGCCCGGGGCTTATCAACGGCCGGGGGCTGCCCCCACCGACGCCCCTCCCCGGTGTGGGGCACAGCGCTGGGTGTTCCTCACCCCGGCCGCACCCCGCGGGGCGCTCCGTGCCCTGACGGCACCGGAGGGAGGGAGGAAGGGGGGGGGTCCTTGGCATCCCCCCGCCTTGTTCGGGGAAGCCGCAGACGGGGCTGGCCCCGGGGGGAGCGGGGGAACCGGCCCGATACTGGTGGCTCTGTCGGCAGCCTCGCTCCGGAAAGGGGCTTCTGTTTTCTCCTTTGGAGTTCATGGGGTTAGAATCGGGGTAAAGAGAAAAGGGTTCTCACTTCAGAAGGTAGATACCGGTGTGGGTAATTTTGGGGTGGTGGCTTTTTCTTTAAGGTGGAGGCAGGATTCCAATGGGGGCATGAACCTAGAGCTTGGTGTTAGCGCATGCTTAGGGATGCAAGATCAGCCACCGCTTTTAGAAACCTCTGGTTGGAATTAAGCTCTTAACGTCCCCACGTGCTTAGGTTTCTGAGTGATGTACCCTTCGCATCTGCTCCAAACTCCGATTTCCCATTCCGACCCTCTCCCTAGGATCAGGACGAGCCCGCATCCCGCTGTCGGCAAAGAGCTGGGCCCTGCTCGGCACCGCGCGTTGGGGATGCTCCTTGTCTAAGCTCCGGGCTGCCCGAGCTCCGGGCTGCCAGCTCGTGAAAGGATCACTACTGGCTGCGCATAGACCCACGCATCCCTGCGTATGTCGGCGTGGCGATATGTCGCGCCGCGACAGCACCGCGGCTGTCCCGGAGCAGGCGGGTTTACGCGGAGCCCGGCCCCGTCCCGGCTGTGCCCGCCGCCCCCGACGGCTCCTGCGGCCCGAGGGGGACACCCAGCGGCTCGGCTCCGCTCGGCACCCGTTGTTGGCAGAGCAGAAAGCTGAAACGTGTTGCGGTAATGAAGACTGCCTGGGTGTGGGACGCCTGCTTTCGGCTTTATTCCTGTCACCTCTCCTTTACGGTGACTTTTTTAAACATCCCCCACGGTTACAGCAGGTATCTTTTGGAGAGACGTCTGTGACTGCAGCCACAATGGAGTGGGTGCTTGGTTGGATGAGAGGCAGAGTGTCATGAGAAGGAAATAGAGCCTGGGCAACAAGCCATAGGAGAGGTTTTGTGACCAAGAATCTGAAGTAGAAACAGGTACCTCCTTCTGTCCTGGAGTTAAGTATTTAACTACTTCTCACGGACAAGGCTGAGCTGACTGTTAGCTGTGTGTGGCTCTCCAGCTGGAATGCTGGATCGTGTAAATCCCTGTCATGGGTACTGTGGACTTCCTATGGCTGCAGGAGGGATCTTGGCATCTAACATAGGGATGTG